GGGTTTCACCATGTTGGTCAGGCTGGTCTTGAACTCCCGACCTCAGGTGATCTGCCTGCCTTGGCCTCCAAAGTGCTTGGATTACAGGCGTGAGCCACTGTGCCCGGCCCCTTTTATTTTTTTTAAGACTCAGTCTCGCTCCTGTCCGCCAGGCTGGAGTGCAATGACTCGATCTTGGCTCACTGCAACCTCCACCTCCCCGGGTTCAAGAAAACCTCCTGCCTCAGCCTCCCAAGTAGCTGGGATTACAGGCGCCTGCTACCATGCCCTGCTAATTTTTGTATTTTTAGTAGAGATGGGGTTTCATGGTAATGGTCAGACTGGTCTTGAAATCCTGACCACAGGTGATCTGCCAGTCTCGGCCTCCCAAAGTGCTAGGATTACAGGCGTGAGCCACCATGCCTAGGACAGCTCCACCACAGAGAATGATCCCTCCCAAATGTCAGCAGTGCAGAGCAGGAGACCCTGTGTTAATGATTTGGGAAAATAATAGCGTTTGCCCTCTGCTCACAGTAGACACCTGAATAAACTCCCAAAGGAGCAAGCTATGTAAACCAGGGGAACCCCCAGCTCCTGGGACTCTCCTCCTCTCTCCCTCCCCACTCAGGGTGTGGATTTCAATGCGTGCCGCCTCCTGGGACCTCAGCAGGGCAGAGGATGGTGGGACGCAGGGTCTCTTGGGGAGGTCCGTGGAATCCACTAATGCAGGGGTGATTTTGCCCCCAGGGGACACCAGGCGATGTCTGGGGATATTTGTGGCTGTCATGACTGGGGGTGCTCCTGGCATGCAGTGGGTGGAGGCCAGGGACACTGCTCAGCACTGTGCAGTGCCTGGGACGGCCCCACCCCAGAGACCAACCCCGCCCCAGTGCCAACTGTGCAGTCGCTAGGAAACACTAGTTTAACTCCATTGCTCAAATAAGAAGGTCAATTCATGTTTAAGGGAAAATCAGCTGCTGTTTTTCCGTTTTCTGTCCATGTCCTCGGGTACATTGCTGCCTGACTCCAGCGAGAACCAAGGAGTTCCCTGCCAAGATCATCAAGCGTCCTTGCTGGTATGGGATGGCTGGTGGAAGACCCTTCTCCTCTTGTCTGTGGTCGCTCGTCCCCC